CATCATCTCTCACCTCTCTTCCTAAATCATTAGTTAACGTCTCCTTCACTTTCAAGATTTCCTAAAAAACCACAATGTACTTAAAAAGTAAGCATAAGAAAGACACCACACCACACCAAAACCACAAACAAGAAACTCAAAAACGCTGTCTCACCTTCATAGGTTGCATCAGCTTAAAAAGCCATACGTGCTCGGACGAAGGAAGAACCGGGGGTATTTTTGTCTTTTTCCAATCCAAGCTGAAAAAGTCGGATGAAATTGAATAGTCCCTCAAGAGCCTATCAATCTTCTCATCGTCGTCACTCTTATTATTCTTGGTTGCAGGCATCAGAAAAGAAGATGCAGACTTCTTTTATGTTTTATAATTATTAAAATATTTAACATACGTTTTAGTTTTTTTTTTTTTTTATTACTAACATATATGTTTATTGTATTTAATAAATATATTTGTTTAATATTTTATTTTTTCTTTTTTTTATTATTATATTAATATGTATTTTATTTTGTATTTTATTCGTTAAATTACTATTGCTTTTCTAATTGCAAAAAAACCCCTGGGGCTTTTTTGTCTTTTGACCTTTGGTCAACAAGCAAAATGCCAATGGGTGCAGTGTGCTTTAAAATAGGTTACACGGGGAGGCATGAGTGAGTTTTTTTTTTCACAGGGGGTTATTTGCCAATTCGCGATTTCACAGGAATGGTATTTGCAATAAACTCTTATTATATTGCAAAATTTATCAACATCTTAAAGTCTTTAGATGTTTCAAATATGTAGTTCTGTACCAAAAAAAATTATCATTAATAATACATAAATGAAAATAAATGGAACATTGCTCGACACGTGCAACACACGTGCACCTCTTTAATTTAAAATAAAAATGTGAAAAGGTGAACATTCATTTGTTTTAGTCCATAATAAATAGCTGACGCTTTCGAAAACTTAGAGTTGTTCCAAGGAAACTAAAACCTCAGCCATCTTTGGTATTTCGTTTAGGCACTGCAGAGCAATTGTTGCAACAGTAAATGCTGCGTTATGAGGGAATTGACCCTTTAGTTTGGGGTCCATAATCCTCGCAAATTTTCTGTCGTCACCCAAATATGGTTTTGCCCAATCTACGGAAGTATGATAGTAGTCGTTATAAATAGACCTGTTTCTGCTCCTCCCGGATAATAAATCCACCAAAAAGACCCCAAATTTATACACATCCGATTGTTCTTTTAAGTGAGCACCTGTGATACATTCAGTATGACGATCAAAACACCAAACTAAAATAATGCTTCTAATTAACAACATCAAGAATATGTTTCTTAAGTCCAATTGAACCTGTTGCAACACATTCAATGTCGCTGTCGGAAACATCAGTAGCCAAACCAAAGTTACACAATTTCGCGTTAAATTCCTGCACCCAAGATATAGACAAACAATATATATGGTTTCAAATTGCTAATCGAGAAATCGTTCACTCTACTGCACACAAAAGGTTATCGTTAATAAATGAAATTTGTGTTTAATAACAACATATATATGTGTGTGTACGTGTATATGTACCCCATCCAGAAGAATGTCAGCGGTATTAAAACTTTGGTGTACAATTGGGTTTTTATTGTAGTACAAGAAAGCTAGTGCTCGAGCAGCACCAACAGCCACTTTGATTCTTGTCGCCCAAGGCAGTGTTTGATCAAGTGATCCTATGTCACGGGGGGCAATAATCAATGTTTATAAACATAGTCATATAAGTAAGTCATCAAAATAACAATTTATTACCTCGGAATAAATGACGGTCCAAGCTTCCTTTGGGAATGAATTCATATACCAAAATGATGTCATCTTCATAGCAATATCCAATGAGTTTAACTATGTTTGGATGACGAAATCGACTCAAATAGCCGATCTCGTTCTGCGCAATATGTAGTGGCCGGTTGGTAAAAGCATGACTTGGCACACAAGCAAACTATTATTATTATTATGAAAATTAATTAAAGGAAAAACATACCAAACAGCCATTAAAGCCTCCTTCAAATCTTTTAAACATCTTGACAGCCACTGCCGATTGAAATCCAGGTTTCGAAGCAGTAAGAATGTGCTTATCAATCCATCCTCTACGAAAATTACTAAACCGCCCTTCCCCTATATCCAAGTAAGATCGAATGTTTTTCGTCCCCTTCTTCTTCAGTTCTTCAAATTCTATGTACTGTACAAGGTAAAAAGTAGTTGTTGGTAAAACAATGAAGCAGAAGAAAAATTATAATGGAAAACCAAAGGATCGTAAAACACACCAAACAGTCGTTTAAGCCTTCAAGTCCTTTCCATTTCTTGACGGCAACAGCTGTTCCGAATCCAGGTTTCGAAGCAGTAAGAGTGTTCTCATTAATCCATCCTTTTGAAAAATGACCAAACGCTCCTTCCCCTAAATCCGAGTACGATCGAAAGTTTCCCGTCGCCTTTTTCAATTCTTCAAATTCAATGTACTTGACAGGGTTGGAAGTAGCTCCAAGGCTGATGGCATTGCTGGAAATTCTAGATGCTTTGAGGAGTTTCACAAGAAAAATGCAAACACGGTTGTTATACATAAATTAATTTTACATAAATGCAAATGCAAACTTAAACTTAAACCGCTCAGCATATATAGTTGTACAATTATGTACATGTTAAATAGTTGGGTAAATTCCACTTTCTCCCCTTTTACTTTGACTCGATATCACTTTACCCCTTTCTATTCTCGATTGTATCGATTTGCCCCCTTGTATTTGAAAAATTATCTCAATGTGGCCCTCGCCCTTAGTTTTCAGACATTTGACATAAACATCGTGTGATCTAAATCTGAAAATTACAAAAAAACCACCCCTCACAGTTTAAATAATTATTAAAAAAATTAAAAAATTAAAAATAAATTGTGGTTGGCGTCATTGATCGACTATGTTTTATCATTGTGTTGAATTTTTAATTATTTTATTTTTTGTTTTTATTTTTTTAATAATTACTTAAAGAGGTTGTGTTTTTGTAATTTCATAGCTTAGATCAAACGGTGTTAAGGTCAAATGTCTGAGAACTTGAGAACTAGCAGCGAGGACCATATTGAGACAATTTTTCAAGTAAGGCGGACAAATCGATGCAATCGAGAACAGAAAGGGTTAAAGTGATATCGAACCAAAGTACAAGGGGGAAAAGTGAAATTTACCATAAATAATTTAAATAATTATATCTCAAACAACCAATTCGAGATCCGCTCGTGTTCTAATCAATTAAAGCTCAACCTGATTACTAATCAACTCATGCATTTTGCTCAGACTCAATTCGTTATACTCCTAGTTGTTTGACAGTATGTTTACATCTGGTGAGAGTCCACACTTGGGCAAGGGTGGACTCAATTCCACCCTCAATTTATAATTTCCCCATATATTATATATACATATCTTTATTTTTTTTGCTTTTTATTTTCTTTTCCTATTTTCTTTTTAGCTCTCGCACCCCAAAAAATTTAAGCTCACTCGGTAACAAATTTCTGAATTCGCCACTGTCTAAATGCAAAACGGTATCTTCACAACCAAATCCGGAAAGGAACAGAATTTTCGGAGAGTTAAATAAAGAGTAGTGTATATATATATATACTGAAATACCGGTGATTTCATCTTCGAAGAAACTGAAGCTTGAACTGAAATCAGCTGAAATAGAGGTGTCGAAGCTTTCACATAGCGCAAGGTATCTAAGATGTTCTCTGTTAAGGACAGCTGCAACCAACCTCTCCCAGCTATCATACACCCTTGACATATTTCAACACTACTCCCTTCTTTTCTATAACTGGTTAACACACACACATATATATATATATATATAAATACATATATAAATAAAATGAAGAAAAGTCAAACTTTTTCTTCGATTCTAACATAATTTGTGTATCAGTCTGTATGATTGGAACTTGCCAAGATATTTCAATTTGGTCAACTTTCGGATAAAGTTTTAGTACAAGACATAAATAACCTCATATACGTACCTAACCTTGTAAACGCATATACATGATCAATAGTCAACCTTGGTTGTTAACTGGTCGAACTGTGTTACATGTGCAAAACCGTGTTGGAGTTTACTATTAATTTAAGCGGTAATTGTAAATACCATCTATGTGAAATTGCGAATTGGCAAATACCCCTATGAAAAAAAAAAAAATCACCCATGCCTCCCTGTGTAAACAAAATCAAAGCATCTAGCCCCTCACAACAAATTGTGTCGCTCACGCGTTGTTTGTGCGATTTTTGCTCCATTTTCACATGTGAATTCTCAGAAATGCCCCCAAGCTCCCTCTCTTTTATTTTTTCTTTCTCGTCTTCGTTCTTCATCCATCTTCATCTTCCCTATCCTGTCAGGCATGCATGGCTATCTTCAATTCTCTGTGGATTTTGATCAATCATGGCCCGAAAACTTCGAAAAAAACCTCTGCTTCCAAGGATGACCGCCATTGCCGCCGCCGCGCCGCACGAAGATGAAGAAAACTCATTTTCTGAGACTCCATTTTCTCCGTTCGATCTCATCCACCACCAGCCGCACACCTCCGCCGCGGCATGCCTCAATTGGAAGAAGATCTGAAGATGTGGTTGTGTTGGGGTGATGAGTAGCGGCGGTGGAACACTCCGATCTGGGTTGAATGGTGGATGAATTGAGTCGTGAGTTGGGGGGGCGGTCGCAGGGAAGAAGATGAAGAGTTTTTATTGTATTTTATATAACTATTATTATATTTAAGATATGTTTTAATTTTGTATTTTTTTTAATTATTAACACATATTGATTGCATTTAATAAATACATTTGTTTAAATATTTTCTTTTTCCTTTTTCTTTTTTCTTTTTCCTTTTTTCTTTTTTCTTTTATCTTTTTTCTTCTTTTTTTATTATTATTATATTAACATATATTTTATTTTCTATTTTATTTGTTAAAAAACTATTGTTTTTCTAATAGCAAAAAAAACCGGGGCTATTTTGTCTTTTTATCCTTTGGTCAACTAGTAAAATGTCAATGGGTGCAGTGTGCTTCAAAATAAATTACACAGGGAGGTATCGGTAAGTTTTTTTTTCACAGGGAGTTATCAGTCGATTCACGATTTCACAGGGGTGGTATTTACAATTACCTCATTAATTTAAGTTATTTTCTTTACCTAATATAATAATAAAAAAAAATCATATATTAAATTGTACTACAGAGTACAGATAACAAGTGAGTTATAAAGTATTGGGTGAATTTGCGTATCACCCTAAGAACGGACTTAAATGCGCATATGTTCAGATCGAAAACAGTTTCGATCTCGCAAATAGAATCTATCTCCATAGTTTTTTTTTCTTCTACAATATCCTTCATCATATAATCTAAATCACTTACATCTATTAAATTTTGACTTCATTAATATTGTACATTGACCCCAAATTTAACAAATATATCACATTCACTTTTATTTTCACAATTTTTTAAAAATAATTTTTTTTCTGAACTTCTTTCCCCGGCCGGTTGACAGCCGGTCACCGATTTTAACTTTTTTTTAAAACAACCAATACAATATTTTTTCATGTCTCGGACAATAATATTAATATTAACACAATAATATTACTGAGAAAAAGTAAAATAATAAAAATGTTTAAAAAAAGTGTCAATACCGGAGGCCGGCGGTGGCGGTCAAAATTGCTTAATTGATGAAATTAGGACTAAATTGGAGTTGAACTGGTGTTTCAATGAGTTATGAGTAATTTTGGTATACATGAACGAATTTTCCTTATTAGTAGATAAATTTGAATGCTGTGTAATCCGGTGGATGTATTCGAAATTAAAAAAATATGATGTCCTTCTTTTAATTAAGTGTCCTTGTCATGGTCTTTTTTTTTTTTTTTTTTTTTTTTTTTTTTTTTTTTTGCAATTCGCCTCTTTATATTATATAAATCGAGGAATTAGAATTAATAGTATAGATTATATTATAAAAAGTATAATTTTTTTATATGTACTAATTTATCAAACTAAATTTTGAAATTAATTTATAAAGGCTATTTGACAGATACTGCTCAATACTTGTATGGAGAGGTTCACTCAATATTCCACTTTGAGAAAAGTTCATGCTCCTTTCCCTCTTTTAATATCCCAAAATTTCCCTTCAATTATCTTCTTCCCACAACACCCATTCCTATGTTTTGTTTTTCAAATTTCTAATTAATTTTCTATTATTATTTTATTTTTATTTTTGTGAATTTCTTTGTCATTTTTTTAACTCTTTTTTTATAATTTTTTTAAATTTTATTTAAATTTTTGAAAGATTTATAAATTTTTTTAATCGCTTTTCAATATTCATTTTTTGTGTCAGGTGTACTAACCGACTATGATATTAATTGATTAAGAGCATGTTTGGCTAAGTTTATAAGCTCCTAAAAACATCTTATAATTATGTTTAAGAGCTTATAAGATGTTAAAAATTCTTTGGTAAAAAAATTAGAAAATATCTTTTTTTTTTTTTAAATAAGCTGTTAGGGAGCTTATAAGATGTTTTTCAAAAAATACATCCAGTCCGTCTTTTGTTTTTTAAGATCTTATTTGTTTTTTAGATGAAACACTAAAAATACAAAATTACCCTAAAATATTTTATTATATTACATGAATACTAATAACATTTATATTTTATCAAAACAATGTATTCTTGTAATCAACATCAATAATTAGTTAAAAATAGTTATCATAATTATCATAATAATTGTAAAAAAAATTATTCTCTATTTATATTTTATATGTAAAAATACCCATTATTCTTATTATCTCAATAATAAATTATATTTATTTTATCTATAAACAAAATTATATTTCTTTTACGATTTTTATTTTATATTAATATATTAATGGGACAAAAAATTAAAACTTTCACAAATCTGTTTCATTAAAATATTTTATTACACTTTATTTTATTTTTAAAAATTGTCAAATGTCATATCAACATACCTAAAAAAATTATTTAGATTATTTAATATATAATTTTACATTATTATTTTTATTTGAAAAGTTAATTTGTTAATACTATAATAATATTTTTAGGAACAAAAGTATTTGAGTCGAATTAGTTTGATAATTATAACGGCGTCATGTACTTTCTTGTCATTATAGCGATAAACAAACCTGTTATTTCCAAACACCTGAACATTTTATAAAAACTAAAATTAACTTATAAGCTACATATCCAAACACATTAAAAAATACTTTTTAAAATAGGATCTAACAGTTTATCAACTCCCAAAACATCTTACCAGATGTAAGAGCTTATAAGATGTTTTAAATAAGCTTAGCCAAACGGGCTCTAAGACATAGTCGATTAACAAACCGACTCCTAAAATCGTGGTTGAATAATGAAATTGACTACTAAAAGTAACAAAAACAACCGTAATACCGTCAATGAAATCCCAATACGATTCAAAAAAAAAAAAGAATTCAAACAAATAACGAAAACAACTAAAAAAAACAAAATCAAGTATTTTTTACAAAATAACAAATATACAAAAATTTTATTGGCAGAACACAAACATACCACCGATGTGTAGGGCTGGCAATCGGGCCTTGTGAGCCGAGCTTGGGTCGGCTCAAGCTCACATATCATCGGGCCTCATTACTATAGGCTGAAGCTCACATGTCATCGGGCCTCATTAGAATAGGCTCAAGTTCGGCTCATGTATTTTTTCGGGTTTCGGATTTATATCGGGCCCCAT